AAATTAATTAAAGAAGCCCTTGATGTCTATGGATATCCAAAAATTGTATATGCTTTCATACAATACAAATTATGCCTTCAGAAAGTCTTAATGGAACTGGAAGAAACCATGTGTTCAGCATGTGGGAAAAAGTTTAAATCTAATATTTCAGAAATTATTAAAATTGATGAAATACAGAAATTATATCAAGGACATTCAGTATTGTCCCTGGGAGAATTAGAAACAGAGGAAGCAATAACAGATTTTCTTGCTGAATTCTACCATTACTTAAGAAATGAAACAGAATATATAAAGAAAATGGAAGGACAAGAAAGAAGACGATATTTGATAAATTGTCATACAACAAATATAGAATATTATATTTATGGAAAATCAGAAAGAGAATTCATGGAACAAGAATCTAATAAAATGACCCCATATATATCAAAAGTAATAATTAAAAGGATGGAAGACGAATTAAATAAAAGTAACCCAATATATAAAGAAGATGATATTGAGTGTATAGAAAAATTCTTTGATTAAAAATATAAAAGAATGATAAATTCTTTTAACAAACACTAGAGAAAAATGAATCAAGAAAACAAAATCAATCAGATAGTAAACATTTATGAATGTAGAATAGAATTAATTAGAAACCTTAAAAGATTTGTAAATTGGCCAATAACTGGCATAGTAAAGCAAGTAATAAAACCACAATATTGTGACAGTTTAGATTATCAAGAGCTTGATTGGACTATGGTATTAACAAAAGAAGAAAATAACAAATTGTTAACTATAAGTATTGCTGAATATAGTGAATGTATGATAAACCCATCATATTTTAATAAAGAATGGATAATTCTATACTCATCAGAAAGTTGGAAACAACAAAATAAGGAAGTAATTAAATTATTACAAGTTTCTAAAGGATGGAATGAAATGATAAAACCATTAATTTTTGGACTTGAGTATAAAAAACTAGTTAATGGAATAATGTATTGGATGACATTTGGAAAGAAACACCAGTGGATAATTAGAGAAAGCTTACATACAAATTTATCAGAAATAGAAAAAATATTAATTATATGGAAACAAGTAACGAAGGAAAGAAAAAGATATCAATATCCTGAAATTATTAAAGAATTTTATATAGATGAATTATATTATGAATCATATATATCAGGATTTGATGAAGCAGATTGTATGATATGTAAGAAGAAATTACATGCTAAATATCAAGATAAAGATAATAAAGAAAAATGTAAAGTTATTCTGGGAATGATAGAAACTTACAATAATCATAAGATCGAACTTAAGAAGTGTGAAAAAAATAATAACACAAAAATACTTTTTGATGTAACTTGCAAAAACAAAAAACAAAATTGGGAAATAATTATGACTAAAGAACAATTGAAGGAATTAATAGTAATGTATATAAATAAAAATTTGAAAAAATATAAATACCGCTACTATTTAGATCAAGTAAATATTCAAGAAAAAATACAACAACTATTAGAACAAGAAATATGGTATTCAAACTTGTCATAATCACTCCA